GGGTTTCCTTATTATAATTATAGTAGAATGGGCCCCAAAACCCTATTCTAATTATTAAGGCCCTATATTACCATCAGGCTCCCAACCAGTGCTCTAGCCAAATGGAAAGGGGTGATAGTCGGGGTCGGCAGTCAACCAACCACCATCACCGTCATCATCAACAGCTTCTGCAGCATCGGCAGCATCAGCAGACTAAAAAAACACGTTCTGGAGCAGTCAGCTGGAGATTGTGGCTGCAACAGCTGGAGATTGTGGCTGCAACATTTTCATAACTCCGAGTTTAATGCGACTTGTTTCCGTGACAGTTTGCTGGTTTCGGTTCGGGCCTATCAACTGCCGTGCAAAGTCGTGGGCTATTGGTGTTGGACGTAGTTAGAAAGGCTCTGACAGTGTGCGAGTACGGACAGTGGCGAGCATGACATCACCTCGAAGGGCAATGATGAGCAATGAAAGTTAGATACCAACAGGCAGGACGTGTCTGACAGCAATGGTTTCATGAGCACAGTCGAACAGGGAAGTGCTTGGCCACAGCAGGAATGCCAATACAACTACATTCGGACAAGTGTTAAGATCCCCTGTAGGATAATCATGAGACCCTAGTCTAACGATTAAGGCCCCTTTTGCAGTCCCTAGTCTAACGATTAAAGCCCCTTTTGTAGTCCCTGGGAGGGGTGAAGTTTCTCTTGACATCGAAACAGGCAAACAAACCTTCCCAGCTCGGTTGCCGGTTGGGGCTTGTAGGGTGTAGGATGCATAATGTAGAAGTATACTAATTAGGATAGGGCTTTGGGGGTATATTGTACCATAGTTTTAATAAGGAACCCCCCACAAATAGTGTTGACCGTACTTATTTAGGCTCCTTGAAAAAAAAAAGCTCAGCCAAGAGCCTAGGTCTCCTTATGAGTTAGTTAAGTTCTTGCTCTCAGCAAAGCGCGTATTTGGACAAAAATAATGTTGGGGCCTTAATAATTAGAACAGGATGTGTGGGGGGGGGCTCCTTCTTATAATTATAGTATAAGATACCCACAAACCATATTCTACTTATTAAATCCTCTAAATATTAATACTCCCCTGCACCCGACTCCGAGCCCCAGGGCATGCATTGCCGTCCCTACCGGACCTGAAGTTGTCCCAAGGACTCCGCGTCCCTTGGCCCCCCGGAATCAAGACTCGTAATCGTAGCCAAGCCCTCAGCACTAGCTCTTGGCACCTGTGCCGCCCCAGAAGCAGGTGAACGACAACGCTTCAACTGTGTTGGTGTCGACGTGGACGATGCTCAACTGAAACGTGCTGGCATGTGGGGTTGGGGGGCTCGGGTTTGCCTTGCGCGAGCCATGCGAGGTTTGCCTTGCATAACTGAGGGAAAGTTAGGACTCACGCAGCGGGGCGCAAGAGCGGTACGAGGCGTAAACTTGCTCCAATCCACTGCCTAAAGCATCGCTTGCCCTCGACGAGCCGCCCTCGTCTAACTTCTTCTATTGTTGGTTTAAGATTTCGGGATGCCGAGCTCTTGACCGCCCCGTGCGTGTCGGAAATGCAGGAATGCAACTGAAAGACATTCTATGCTTCAGGACAGATGGGCCGTGATGGCATCCAAACCCGCATGAAGAACCTCGAAGCGGCTTCCATCAGACTTTGATCTGAAATATCAAGGAATTCTCGCAGAAACCCGACGGTCCTCGATTGTCGGATGTGTCTTAGATCCGATCCAACTAAGCTACAGAGCAGGGCTTGCACAGCGATGCAGCCAAAGCACTGAATCTAAATGGACGTCACAATCCACACCTCACCGAAGAGGGCGAGTCTTGGGTCGCTGTGGCGCTCTCAGCAAGTATATCTTATGTCATACATCTGACATCCTGTATACTGTCTGTTATAAATTCTGTATATACCATGTTATATAAACGATAAGCGATTACATATTGTATGTTGTATGTTATATTAGCTCAAGCAGCAACAGTGGCACAAGCAGCTACAGTCGCAGCAGCAGCAGCACCAGCAGCAGCCGTAGGAGCTGGTGGAGCGGTAGGGGGGAAACCGATCAATGCATTGCAACTACTACGACCACTACTTCGACTACTGTCAACAAGTTGTAACAGCAATCGCCGCAGCAGCTCTAGCAGCAGCAACAATAGTAGTAGTAGTAGTAGTTGTTGTTGTTGTTGTTGCAACAGAAGGAGTTGGAGTAGTCCTAGTAGTGGTAGTAGTCGTCGTCGCGGTGGTGGTGGTGGTGGTGGTGGTGGTGGTGGTGGTGGGTGGTGGTGGTGCTGGTGGTGGTGGTGGCAGTGGTGGTGCAGCACGAGCCGTAGCACTGGTCGGAGTGGTTGTGAGAATGTGAGCAGTAGTGGTGGTGGGTTTTCAGCGTCGGGATAGGAGCTATCATCCCCGTCGCGTGAGTAGCAAAAGTCGGGAGCGGCATCGCAGTGACAGCAGCAGCACCACCACCAAATTTCCTGACCACGCTTCCGAATAGCATTGACTAAGCTTAAGTTGATCAAGTGTGCTGCTCATGTCAGAAGTTGAGATTTTGGGATTTCAGGGGACCGTTCACCCAACTCGGCTTCTTCCCGACCCAAGAACCTCGGCAAAGCTGCACGAACATGCTCGGGATAAGACAAAATCTTAAACGCAGGACGCATTTCTTAAGTGCTGTCCCGTCACACCTTGCAAACTCTGAAGCCGCAGCGAGAATCTCTACAACTCAGAAAGGTGCTCGCGGTGAGCAACAATTAAGATATTACAAGCCTTAAGATTTCAATTCGGGTTAGAAGGTTCAATGAAGCCGCCAGCATCCTTGCGATCCGTCTTAGGGTTTAGGGTTTAGGGGGGTATTGCGTTTACAAGAACAGCCTTTGGCCTTCGTCGTGCAAGAAGAGCACGCTGTCAAACACCGCACCTGGTGCGAAGTTGCCACGTGGGGTACTTCGAGGGCGGACTCCCTTTTCCTTTACCTTTCTAGGGTTTAGGGTTTAGGGTTTAGGGTTTAAGGTTTAGGGTTTAGGGTTTAGGGTTTAAGGTTTAGGGTTTAGGGTTTAGGGTTTTAAACATGCCCAGTTAATCGCAACGACCCACATCCTCAACCCTAACCCATCCATCCGGAACACCGCCCCGGCCTCATTCCCGAACACCATGCCCCGACCCGAACACCCTACAAACACAGAGCCAGAAGCTACACCTTAATGAGTCCTGATGCCTATCGAACGCTAGTCAACGGGCGTAGGGCTGTAAGCGACCTGGCATTACCACCTGACAACTGTGCAGCAATTCTTCACTTAATCTCCTCCCGTTTTGATGTAAAACCACCCGAAATACTACATCACTAGGTCGGGCGTTTAGCTGCAGGTTCCAATCCCTCAGCCCGTTAAGCGACCCCGCAAGGTCACCAAGGGGCCGCAGCTGCACCCTGGTCTTGGTAGATCCGGGATCCAGGTTCGCGGGTCCGGAATCCCAAACCCGAAACTCCAAGAACTCTAAACCTCCACCCCCTGAAACTGCAGGAAACTTCACTCAAACCCTAAACCCTCAAACCTTAACCCTGACACCTGTCCCCGAACCCTAGCCCACGCCCTGAACCCTAAGTCCGATAAAGACTCATGATAGTAAACTTTAGGGTTCAGGGTTTAGGGTTTAAGGGGTTTAGGGTTTAGGGTATAGTATCCCTTGAAGTCGCCCAAAAAACCTAAATCCTAAACCCTAAACCTTACCCTCCTTCCTCAAAACCTTCATTCTGCCCAGTGCCTCCGCCCAGTTCGAACTCGAAGTTCCTTCCCAAGCGTCTTGGGGCTCCATTTAGGGATTTTCTGGCGGTTTAGGGTTTCGGTTTCCGGGGTTGGCGGTTTAAGGTTTGGGGTTTCGGGTGTTGGTTGTCGGGGTTTCCGGTTCAGGATCAAGGATATCGGCGGCTCAGGTTTATGGTTTAAGAGGGTTTGAGCGATTTCGGGTTGGGACTTTGGGGGGTTTGGGGGGTTTGGGACTTAGGGGCCCAGGGGTTTCGGACGCTTGGTGCTTTTATAGCTAGCGGTAGCAGCACAAGGGCCGAATCCGTTGAAACAGTGACAACCGTCGTCTCGAGTGCTCTGTGGATATGCACAGAGTGAAGACGAGAGGGAAAACGGAACCTCCTTGGTATGGCAGGGACGGAAAGGGTACCAGACACTGTACGTTGCCGGGAATGGGCAATACCATGCTGCTAGTTCTTCAAGCCCCTATCTTAGTCTTTGCTGTCATTCGCGCTCTGTTGCAATAGAAATGGTCATCACTGACTTAGACAGCCCTTACATTACAGGAGATTATAGTAACCCTAAGCCCTGAACCCTAAACCGTAAACTCCTAAACCCTGAACCCTAAACCACGAAACCCTAAACCCAAAAAACCTCTGAGGAAGTCCTCTGCCCGTCCACCAGCATGCGATCGTCTGCGATCGAAGCCACCTCCGGCTAGGGTTTCTATGCTGGCTTAGGGTTTAGGGTGTAGGGTTTAGGGCTTAGGGTGTAGGGTTTAGGCTTTAGGTTTCCTACGGGTTCTATAATAGAGCGGCTGATGTAAGGCTCCTATCACTCGGTTCTCCAGTAACCCCTTAATAATAAGGGTACCCTCGAACCAAAAAAAAAAAATCGGCTCTAATAAGGAGACCCCCAAATAAAAAGGGCAAAAGGGTACTACTGGGGAACCTAGATCAAGGGCTTCTATACGGATTCAATCACGACTCTTTACGTGGACGAGCCGAGCGCAAGTCTCGGGCCTTGCCTTTTAAAGACTTTATAGGCTTAGGGACCTCGGGTTAAGGGCTTAGGGGTTTAAGAGTTTAAGGGTTTGGGGTTTAGGGTTTTAGGGACTTCGGGTTCAGAGTTTAGGGTTTTGGGTTTATAGGGCTTAGGGCATTGGGCTCCGAAGTCTCCGAGGCTTTGGGGATGTAGGGGTTGGGCCGGTATAAGGTTCGAGGGATCTGCTTCTTCCTAGGGCGCTCAAAGTTCGAATCCTTCCAGGGTCCGCATTTTCAGAGTGAGGTAGTCTGTGGGGTACCCAGACGAACTACCCGTATGCTAGATCTGAGACAAGCTTCAGGTCCTCCTTACAGTGCTTACTCCTGAGAAGCCGCTCCAGTCGCTTATCAAGTGCATCCGAGCAGTAGCGGTTGCTGACATCTAGACATGTAGTCTGAATTATGATCTCTTCTGGGGTCCTTCTTCTAAGGGTGCCGTGCTGCTTTGGGGGGTCCTGAAAAAGGACCCTATACACTCCCTTGCACAAAGCAGCCATCCTGTGCAAACATTACGCGAGACTACAGCCGCTGTGATGCGAGCTGGCTCCGAGCAGGCTGCTGGCGCTGAAGGCTCACAGCCAAGTTGGCAGCTGGATCATGGATCGTTTTGGGGGCTTTAGGGTGTGGGGCTTAGGGTTTAGGGTTATGGGTTTAGGATTTAGGGTTACTAACTAATTCAACTAGTTGGTGAGCTTCATACATCCGTGTAGGCAGAAGACTATTGCCAATCTTTCAAAGCCCTAAAGAAACAGAGGTCGCGAGGTCGGCTCCATGAGGATCTGTAGGGTTTTGGATTCTACGATTGGGCTTCCTAATTTTGGGGGCCTTCACCGCATGAATAGGGCTTGTGTGTGTGTGTGTGCGCATCATAGCACTGGTACATAGGTCCCTAAACCCTAAACCCTAAACCCTACTGTAAAGGTATAGTCTCACCCATTCTTCCGTCCCCCTGTATATTATTTCTACCACCTCCCAGGCTGCAGAGCTTGGGTTTGAGGACCCCCAAGTCAGGTGCCATTTTATTCATAAAGTTAAGGGAAACTACAGGTGGGGAGTTGAGGGTATATAGGGCTTCTATAAGGCTTCTATAAGGTATATAGACCTTCTATAAGGCTTCTACAACGGTAACTACCCACCTGAAAATGTCCTAGATAAAGGCCCTAGCGACACCCAGTCGAAGCCGATGATCTTAAGAAAAACCTGGCGTCTAGCCGAAGACACACCCTGAACCCTACTAAACCAAAACCCTACACCCTAAACTTTAAACCCCAAACTCTGAACACCCCCCCCAAGAATAAAAATAAAAGAAACTAAACCCCAGAACCCACACCCAAAAAAGAACACAAAAGAGCCAAAGTCAAAACACGAAATTCAACGTGAAGGCCCTGACCTGAGTCACTCCGACAATGTAGATAATGACGCCGATGGCAGCGATCCTAGCCACAGTTTTTCGGGTTGAAGATGGATGCTTAAGGCGTGAGTTTAGGGTTTAGGGTTTGGGGTTTGGGGTTTAGGGTTCTGGCTGAAAGCCCTAAGCTAACCCACAAGCCCGAGACCCGAACCCTAAACCCTAAACACTGAACCCAGAACCCTAAACCCTAAACCCGAAACCCTAAACCCTGAACCCTGAACCCCGAAACCCTGAACCCTAAACCCTGAACCCAGAACAAGCAACGGCTACGACTCACCTGTGTCTCTGGGTGGCTGCTCAAGAAGCCCAGGAGCCAAAGATCTGAAAACCTACAAACCCAAAATGCCCAATACCCCAGAACTCCTGAAAGTGGGTTTAGGGTTTAGGGGTTTAGGGGTCTAGGGGTTTTGGGGTTTAGGGTTTCGGGTTTAATTAGGGGGTTAGGGTTTAGGGTTTAGGATCTTCCAGAAAGCAAGGCACACACCGCCGATTGCCGTCAGGATCTTCGCTGGCAGGTTGCACGCACATCCTTCCGTTCGCAAAGGATCTGGGGCTTTGGAGGGTTTAGGGTTCAGGGTTAAAGTTTGGGTTAGCAAAGGCCAAAACCCTACCGCCTAGTTTTCTAAGCCCAAAAGGTTGCTTTAAGGGGTTTAGGGTTCTGGGCTTAGGGTTTAGGGCTTAGGGTTTAGGGTTCTGGGCTTGGGGCTTCGGAGTGTGTATTGGAAAGCCTTATGGCTCAGCGTTTAGGGGCCCTATATGTATATGTAAATGTACTTGTAGGTTACCTTCCCGCCTGTCTCTCGCACATCTTGAGCATGCAACTCCGGAACGGCCTAAACCCAAATCCCAAATTGAAGACCAAACAGAAGGCAGGAACAGCAGCAGTCCTCCATCACACATTCTTCCGTCAGTGTCGTTCGGCTTCCCTCAGGGATGCCACTACCCTGCAGGGCTATAAGATGGGATGTCAAACTGCGGCGAAACGGCGTCTGCTCAGTGTCCCAAAGCCTTCCGTCGGTTGGGACACGGGGTCTTTGTTAGAATTTGGGGCTCCAAACAGTGAGACTCATATCGGGGTCCCCGTATGTTGCTGAAGCTTTCCTTCGTGCACGACTCTTCGGACAAGGGCGGGAAAAGCTTGTGCATGCAAGGAGCGCTTTAACTACTATTCTTCGACATTGAACTGGAGCACTTCAGGTGCATGAAGAGAAGCTGCCTAGTCTCAACTTACCCTCCATTTTGTCAAATCCCTGAACCCTAAACCGCAGACCCTTAAACCCTACGCTACTGAGCAACTTGCAGCTATGGCCTGGGCCCCAGGTCCGTACGTAACTTCTCCCACGAAGCCGATGACTGACGGCAACCCATAACAGGTCACCATCCCCTGCAAGCCTGAAAAGCTTAAGACCTACAACAATAACTCCAAACCCGATGTAAGCCGAGACCCTGATCCCTTTTTTCCGTCTTGCTATGCGGACTCTGGGCGAATTTGAAGCACCGTCTTCGCCCGGTTAGGTAGGCCGTAAATGGTGCCGTCCTTTGAGGTGGATGGCAAAGGGCTCTTTAAGAATTTTGTACAGGATCTATCAGGCCTGTATACGGGCTCTACACGGTTTCGACGAGGGCTTTATCGTCGTTCTATAATAAGGACTTGCTAAGACTTTCGAATCCGTCTCGTGAGGTCTGCACGACGAGGACCTCACTATTTCGGATCTATGCGAAATCCCCACATCGGGATGAGCCATCCAGCGATGAACCCCGGACAGAGCCGGAAACTCTAAACTAAACCCTAAACCCTAAACCCTAAACCCTAAACGACGAAACCGAAAAACCTGAACGAGTCTTGAGCACCTTGAGAGCGCCTCCAGACCCCAAACCCGAAACACCTTTAGGGGGCTTAGGGGGGGGGGGGACTTTGGGGGTTTCGAGGGTTTTGGGGGCTTTGGGGGTTTAGAGGGTATTTTTTGGTGTTTAGGGGTTTTAGAGGGTTTTTGGGGGTTTAGCGGTTTAGGTGCTTGGGGTTTAGGGCTAGGGTTTGGAATACATCCCCTCCCTCAAGCACTGCCTGTAAGCACCAGCTCTCTGGGTTCAGGCTCGCCATGCGACTGTGTGTAAGTTAGGGTTTAGGGCTTAGGGTTTAGGGTTTAGGGTTGAATAGGCAACCTTACTGAGCTTGTAGGTTACAGTAACATAAGGGCCTCAATAGTAAGAATAGGGTTTTGGGGCCCATTATACTATAACCATACTAAGGAACCCCAAAAATAGTATAGGTAATTATTTAGGCCACTACATTAGATCACGGCAAGAAGCATCAACATCCAGACAACTCTATAGAAGCCCTTGATCTTAAGGCCCTGCACACACTTCCCAAACCTCAAGCACTAGCAACCCCTCTATTTCTGCTAACCCGGAGCTAAACTCTGAACCCCTCAAACCCTAAACCCTAAACCCTAAGCCCTAAACCCCTCAAACCCTAAACCCGAAACGCTAAGCCTAAACTTCTCAAACCCCCTAAGCCCTAAACCCTAAACCCCCAAACCCCTCAAACCCTGAACCCCCTCTCATTGCCCTTCTTGCCCTTAGCAAGTCCTCGGCCATAACCGCTCCCTGCCTCGGCTAAGTGAGGGCTCTACATCTCAGAGCGGCTTGGGGCTTTAGGGTTTTAGGGTTTAGGGTTTAGGGGTTTAGGGTTTAGGGTTTTGAGGGTTGAAGGGCTCAGGGTGAGGGGTTTAGGGTTTAGGGATTAGGGCTCAGGGTTTACGGGTTAGGATTCAAAGGGAGTTTTAGGTCTTTCAAAAAAGCCAGGGCTTATGAGCGTTTCTAATTTTCATTTACAAGGAAGGGTGTATGGGTTGTTGTTTGAAAGGGCAAGGGTTTGTAAAAAAAGGAAGCAAGACAAGATTCAGGCGACTCGGCGTCAGCCTCTTGATTTAAGTAAGGGTTCTACGGATATGTTTAATGAGGTTTTGGGTTTAAGTAAAGGTTTATAGGCTTTCTCAAGATTGTTTCAAAAAGTGCTTATAAGCTTCTGAAGCAAGGGTTTATAGCCGCGCAACTTACAGGCCCAAAGTCTGCCCTGCAACCATAAGCATCAACACCCTAAACATTTAAATAAGGCTCAAGGCCCTAAACCCTAAACCCTAAACCCTAGACCTAAGCCTCCTTTTGCAAAACGGAGTCGACGGTCGAGGCACCATTTGAACCATCCTTCAAAGGGGCCGCCGACAACCTGGCATCTCATTGAACTCCGAAAGGCGTTCTCAAGAGGGCTTGGGGTTTAGGGTTTACGGGGTTTGGAAATGAAGGGATGAGGGTTTAGGGTTTAGGTTTGAGGAATGAAGGGATTTGGGGTTAGCGCATAGGGGGCTGAGGAGTCTAGGGATTATAGGGTTTGGGTTTAGGGAGTTTAGGAATGAAGGGATGAGGGTTTAGGGTAAAAAAAGGCTTAGGATGTAAGGACTTGGGTTTATGGGGATGCTGGGATTATGTTGGGCTAAGTTGGTAGAACCTAGGGCAGGCCGTCATCATCATCATCATCGTGCTTCGACACACAAAACCCTGGTGAGGACAGAACTTTCGCATCATCGTCATCATCATCTTCATCATCATCTTCATCATCTTCATCATCATCTTCATCATCATCATCACCGTCATAATCATCGTATTTCCTTTATGTTCCGTTTCTATACTCCAAAGCAGCAGTCGACGGACCTTAGTCGGTTGGCCGACGCCAAGAACAAGCTGCACAACTCGCATTCGGAAGGTTAGAAAGCCTTCACCGGGGCCTGTGTCTTTGTGCTTCGAAACACGAAACCCTGATAGAAACTGTACTTGCATCCACAACAAACCTTTCCGTCACACACACAACCCCACGTTCACGGCGTTCTTGCAAATCTTATGCACCCATGGACCGTGCCAAAACCACAGGGTCATTCAGGCGCGCGTTACCTTCCAGGAGAGGTGGTGTAAAGATAACTAGGCAATTCAGGAAATTTGCCCCGTCGGCTTCAGACTTTTGGATTTAGGGACTTTAAGATAATTGGGTTTAGGAGTTGAGGGATGTATGTAAGCTAGAAGAATTTAACGAGTTTCGTTGGACTTAGGGATTTAAGGATTATGAATGGTGTATTAGATTTAAAGTGTTTGGCGACATCAGAAAGCTCCGATTTCAGGGTGGCGGTTTCCAGACAATTGGGTTTGGAACTCATTGATATGATCCCTATCCCAGGCATGCTCATTCCCGCGAGCACCGTCAGAAAGACAATCATCGTGGGGTTTGGCCTTGTACTTCGTGCAGGGGTGTCGTGCTTACTGCTCTTACTGCTCACAGCCATCACCATGAAAATAAAAGCATCATTCGCAAGACAAGTACTAGTAGTATGGCTGTTATGGCGGTATAGGTCCTACTAGCCGTGAAAATTGCGTCCTAGAAACCCTAAACTCACCGACGAATCGGGGCGCCTCCGCACGGTCCTCGGCGGGCGAGAGCCGCAGGACTTCCTGTCCGGCTGCCCAACGTTATGTTGAGGTTTGAAATGGAAGACTTCGGTTTTGGGGCTTTAGGCTTGGGAAGGAGAAGCCACGGGTTGCGGGGCTTTGGGGTGTTCGGCTTTAGGGTTTAGGGTTTTTAGGCTGTCGGTTTCTGAAGGGCTTGGGGCTCCGAAGCTCTTCTGTTGAGGGTTTGAAAAGACACTTTTGCTCTGGTGAAGGGTTCGGAAAAAACTGTAGCATTGCAGTGCATTTGAGCTGAATTCCAAGCCTGGGTTTTGGTCCAGTACCCCCAAACGCAGGAAAAACAGGCAACAAACAATGGAAAGCAACCAGGAAAAAAACAAGAGTACTTGGAGAGGTGCCATCAAGCCAGCATGGCAGCACCGCGACAAAAATGACAGTTCTAATGAGTACTGAGTACCAATGCCACGGCGACAACGACAACGACAACTACAACAACAAGCACCACCAGAACCACAAGTACAAGAACAGTAAAAAGAACGAAGCAACAAACAAAACAAGAACCGTGACAAGAACAAGAACAAAAACAATAACGAAAACAGTATTCAATAACACCAGCAACAACACCACCACCACCACCAGCAGCAGCGGCAGCAGCAGCTGCAACGACAACAACAACAACAACAATCCCGGACATGTGTCACACGAACGTGTAACAAGTCAAGCGCTCCGCCTAGCCTTCGCACGGTCGGGCACAGCCTCACCGGGGGCTCAGCACGCAGGTTTTGGGTATGCTACTGGGTAGCAACTCAGCAGACAACTGGCGATGATGATATTAAGGCTTATGACATGCTTGCGATGATGAAGCATGTGGGGAGCTGTTGCTAGGACCCTCTTGGAAATCCGCAAGCCGCTGCTGGCCCAGCCTGCACCTTCGTCCTAAGCCAATCCTTCGTCCACCCTTTTGGAAATGCTAGGGGTTAGGGTTTAGGGTTTAGGGTCTTGCATTCTCTGCTCAGCTACGACACCCACGCGGCTCTTTAAAGCAAAGCCGGTGAAACGCACACGCCCTGCTCATGTCATGGCTCCGAACACTAGAAAATTTTGCTATGTTTACTATTTTTAATATGGGTCATTAGTATTTGATAGGGAAACTAACTGTTCTTGTTGCTAATAACATTACTATTTTTCCGATTGTAACTAAGTAATATCATTACCATTATCATTCTGCTTCATATTATTAGTAGTACATATTACTATTGGCACTAAGATTTTCTAAAAACTTGCTTCTAGCCTTACTATAACTACTATTACTGTTCCTATTCATCTTATTATTACTATTGTTGTTTATCTGTATTCTTCTTGTTCTGGTTATACTATTTGTGAAATATGTTGACTGCTGCCAAACCACGAACCCGAACTCTGAACCCGAAACCTTAAACCTTACA